TTTTTTTTTTTTTTTTTTGTTAATTTTATTTTTTAATTTTAGAAATAAAAATTATATTTTAGTTTATTATTATTATTTGGAAAATATTTAACTAAATAATACTAATTCAACTCAAACTAATATCAAACAACAATGAAGCCCTTCTAAGGGTCATCCCAAACGAGCTTATGGCCTAAAACAAACCAAATTAAACAACTCTTAATTAATTAATTAATTAATTATATTTATAAATCTATGTTTTTCTTAAATTTAATTAACTGATATCCCAATAAGAAAAATGCAGTCTTTGTGTGTGAAAGACAGAGTTTAAAACGAAGAAATCAAGAAATAAAAGTTATGTCCAAAGAAAATGGAGCTACAGATTGGCATGCGCCTCAAATCCTCTGATCAAAAATCAAATTTCTGGAAGCAAAGTTCATAAAAATGGCATCTACGCATATATAATTCAATGAAATATTCTGAAATCAGACCCCAGCCGCCATTTTCTTTCCCAACGAGTTCATCCTGTCGTTCTCTCTTTTTCTTCATTTCATTATTCAATTCTGAAAAGGAGAGAGAGATTATACAGAAAGAGCTCAGCGAACTGTGTATGGTGTTATGTTGCTTCGAGTGGCACTAGGACGCAATCGCCGTCGCCATGAATTGCTCTCTTCCGGCCTCCGTGACCCATTCCTATTTCTCACCTTTTCGGCATCTCTTTCCTTCCTGTAACGGTGCCAGATTTCCCGGATTCCAATTGCAGACATGGTGCCCGATCAGGAGGCGGCTTAAGTTCGCTTGCACGGCGGAGCTCTCGAAGTCTGTATCTCTCAATTTTGGCTTGGAACTTCAGGTCTCTTACTTTAATCCTTATTTTTTCCTTCCAATTATCGCTATTTCGTTGTGTTTCTGGCCGGAGAGCTGGAAGTGATTGTGCTTGGTCTTGTCCGGGGAAATTAATTGCTTTGTTACTGTATAAATGTGAGCGTGATGGAACCCTTGTTTTTGATTTAATGTTATAATCGTTGTTCTTCTCAGTTCTTTAGGTTTTAGAGGCCCTCTGCTGATTGTTATTACATTCAAGTTGCTTGGAATCATGGGGTTATCAGATAATGGCTTATTTATCAAAAATAAACTTTGGATTTTGCTGTTTGATAATAAATCAACTACAATTATCTTCTTCCTGATTTTTATTTCGTGTTTTAACTTTGCCCTTCTGATTTTTGATTGTAAACCATTCCCATTTTGTAATCTATTATAGTCACCATGGATGGGGCCCGTTCCTGGCGATATTGCAGAAGTTGAGGCATATTGTAGAATCTTTAGAACTGCTGAACGGCTCCACTCTTGTCTGATGGATACTCTTTGCAATCCCTTGACTGGTGAATGTAGCGTTTCATATGATGTTACACCAGGGGAAAATCCAATAATTGAGGATAAAATAGTCTCTGTTCTTGGATGTTTAGTATCACTTCTTAACAAAGGAAAGGAGGATGTACTTTCTGGAAGATCATCTTCCATGAATTCTTTCCACGTTACAAATTTAGATTCAATGGAGGATAATCTTCCTCCACTGGCTGCTTTTCGGAGTGAGATGAAAAGGTGTTGCGAAAGCTTGCACGTTGCTCTTGAAAACTTCTTGACTCCGGGCGATGACCGTAGTTTGGATTTATGGAGGAAACTTCAGAGGCTGAAGAATGTTTGTTATGATTCTGGTTTTAATAGAGGGGAGGATTGTCCCTGCCATACATTGTTTGCTAATTGGAATCCTGTTTATCTACATAATTTCAAGGAAGAAACATCAGCAAAAGATTCTGATGTAGCCTTCTGGAGTGGTGGTCAGGTAACAGAAGAAGGTCTGAAGTGGTTAATCAACAAAGGATTTAAAACGATTGTTGATCTTCGAGCAGAGATGGTGAAGGATGAATTCTACAGTGCATCCATACATAATGCTATTGGTTCTGCAAAAGTTAAGGTGATCAAAATTCCTGTTGAAGTTGGGACAGCACCAACGGTGGATCAGGTTGAGAAGTTTGCATCGTTGGTTTCGGATGGCAGCAATGGGTTGATCTATCTTCATAGTAAGGAGGGTGTGTGGAGGACATCAGCCATGATATCTAGATGGAGGCAATATGCTACTCGCAGTGGAGAACAGATCGTCTCTAATCATACTATCGTTCCGGGTGATATTCTCCTTAGAGACGCCTCTTCCAAATTAGCACATAATCAAAATGGAGCAAAAGAGTCGCTGGAAACTTCTACCGTTGGAAAAACATTTCCACATGAAGAAGACGGCCAATCTTTGCTGCTAGAAAGTGCCCATCATAGTTCAATCAATGGAAAAAATTATGCAGAAACTGATAAAGTTAGTCTGAATATGAATGGAACGTACAACGGGCCTATTCCTACACGAGATCTGTCATCTTTAAGAGCAGTTGATAATGGGGAAGAGCATCACCCTCTGAAAGCTCAGATTCCTCCACGCAATAGTTTTTCAAGAAAAGAAATGTCCAACTTTTTTAGGACCAAAAAGATTACTCAAAACTACTTACACCATCAATTGAAAACAAAAGTAAAGTCTTCTACGGAGTTACCTGCAAGCAGTGTTCAAAGATTTAGTGTTGGTGATAGTGATCTTAAATCTGGAATTGTTGAAGCAGGAAATTCTAACAACAGCCCATGTGTGAACGATACGCCCTCGAAGATCCAATTTTCATCTACTACAAAGATGAAGTATGTCAATGTTGATAGTCCTGAACCAGCCAATCCTATTCTTAATAGACTTGTAGCTTCTACTGCTGTTGGAGATAAATTTCCCTCTAAATCAGAAACACATGGCTTAAAGAGCAATGGTCAAGCAACTTCAGTTTCTAGCGATGTCGACGTGGAATATGTGGATGGAAATATGTGTGCTTCTGCCACTGGTGTTGTAAGGGTGCAATCAAGAAGGAAGGCCGAGATGTTCTTAGTTCGAACGGATGGTTTTTCATGTGCTCGAGAAAAAGTGACTGAATCCTCTTTGGCCTTTACTCATCCTAGTACACAACAACAGATGCTTATGTGGAAATCCACTCCTAAGACTGTATTACTTCTCAAAAAGTTGGGTCAAGAGCTCATGGAAGAAGCTAAAGAGGTACCATAAAAACTGAATTTGAAATCTTGAAACCTACCCGTTCGATTTCAAACGACGTATAATTTTACATGGAAAATTCTATCCCTAATTGTAGGTTGCCTCGTTCTTGTATCATCAAGAGAAGATGAATGTCCTTGTTGAACCTGACGTTCATGACGTATTTGCAAGAATTCCCGGGTTTGGATTTGTCCAAACTTTTTATAGTCAAGACACCAGGTAAGACTGTATTGATGAACTTGTTGACATTTCCTTTTTCAGGGATTTGCTTATCCTGTTGTATGCTTAGTTTAGTGACCTGCATGAGAAAGTTGATTTTGTGGCATGCTTGGGTGGTGATGGGGTTATTCTCCATGCTTCAAATTTATTTAGAGGTGCTGTTCCCCCAGTTGTTTCGTTTAATCTCGGGTCTCTTGGATTTTTGACTTCCCACACTGTAAGCTCTTTGACTCGAGCTTTTCGGTTTCTTTTGATTGACTACTGCACAGATGAATATTTGTTTGATAATAATACTTTTTTGATATAGTTTGATAGTTGTAGGCAGGACTTAAGACATGTCATTCATGGAAATGATTCAGTAGATGGTGTCTATATAACTCTAAGAATGCGTCTTCAGTGCGAAATTTTCCGAAATGGCAAAGCTATTCCTGGGAAATTATTTAATATTCTTAATGAGGCTGTTGTTGATCGAGGTTCGAATCCGTACCTTTCCAAAATCGAATGTTACGAACATGATCGACTCATTACAAAGGTGGGTTTCCTTTTTGAAAATTAGTCCAGTTGATATGATGCAGATCATCATATCTTATCTTCAAGAGTGATATTATCTGAACCATTGGCTGCAGCTACTAAGTATAAGATAGTCACTTCTTGAGTGGAAATGCTTTTCAGGTCCAGGCCGATGGAGTCATTGTGGCTACACCTACTGGAAGCACTGCTTACTCTACCGCAGCAGGGGGTTCTATGGTAAGCTAATGTTTTTTTTTTTATACCAGAAACAATTTCATTGATGATTGAAATTTACAAAAGGCCTTCCGAATTTCCAATGAAGGAGTAGGAAGCAAAAATATTCGATAGTTTACACCAAGATATAGTTTGGTCTACAACGTTGTCGATGTGAGATCCCACATTAGTTGGAGAGGGGAACGAAACATCTCTTATAAGGGTTTGGAAACCTCTCCCTTGTAGACGCGTTTTAAAACCGTGAGGTTGACCGCGATACGTAACGGGTCAAAATGGACAATATCTACTAGCGGTGGGCTTGAGTTGTTACAACTGATATCAGAGTCAATCACTGAGCGGTGTGCTAACAGGACGTTGGGCCCCAAGGGGGGTGGATTGTGAGATCCCACATTGGTTGGAGAGGGAAACAAAACATTCCCCTTATAAAGGTATGAAAACATCTCCTTAATAGACGCGTTTTAAAACCGTGAGACTGACGGTGATACATAACGGGCCAAAGTGGACAATATCTGTTAGCGGTGGGCTTGGGCTGTTATAAATGGTATGAGTGAGGACACCGAGTGGTGTACCAGCGAGGATGCTGGGCCCTCAAAGGGGTGGCTTATGAGATCCTCCGGTTGGAGAGAGAAACGAAACATTCCTTTCAAGGGTGTGGAAACCTCTCCCTAACAAACACGTTTTAAAACCGTGAAGTTGACAATATCTGCTAGCAGTGGCTTGGGCTGTTAGCTTTGTATAAGTCTAAGTCTGTATCTTTTGTATAAGTCTAAGTCGGTTTCTCAATTATACTGATTTCTTTTCACATGCCACATTGTTGAAGTGGTTTCTGGCCATGTGTATGCATAATGGAAAATGTTGTTCTTGAATGTGATTATGGAGAGCCAGCCGTTAGGATGAAGTTCTTTATGCATCTTTGAGCCGATGTTCTTCTATCTTGCAGGTGCATCCGAACGTTCCTTGCATGCTTTTTACTCCAATCTGTCCCCATTCTCTCTCATTTAGACCAGTTATACTTCCCGATTCTGCACGACTCGAGTTAAAGGTGATTTCATTTAGAACAACGCTTTCAAGTATCGACACAGACTCGTACAAACTCATACATTACTCTACTTATACAATACAGGGATCAAATGCATACTTGTTTAGTCTCATATAGCTTAGCGTTCTAATCGAGTATGACTCTACTTATATTGACAGATACCGGAGGACGCACGGAGTAACGCTTGGGTTTCCTTCGATGGAAAGAGAAGGCAGCAACTCTCAAGAGGCGATTCCGTTCGGATATCCATGAGCAAGCATCCACTCCCAACTGTAAACAAGTGTGATCAAACTGGTGATTGGTTTCGCAGCTTGATTCGCTGTCTGAACTGGAATGAAAGGCTTGACCAGAAGGCCCTTTGAAGCCATTCCATGAACTTCATTTCAAATCAATAAACGAGTTCTCTGTAAATCACTGTACATACACACAAAATTTGGCTTTTACAGTATATGAGTTCCTCAAAAGTGAAAGAGAAGATGGTAGGGAATACTTGTACTTCAATGGATACTTGTACTTCAATGGATACTATAAATTTCAGAATATTCATGTCGTCCGTGTAACAGTTCAACCCTACCATTAGTAGATATTGTCTTCTTTAAGCTTTCTGATACAGGTTTTTCTTAACGTATAAAATGCATATGCTATAGGGAGGTTTCTATACCCTTATAAAGAATGTTTCGAGATCGCACATCTAATATGTTGACGAGGGCATGAGAATTTCGAGAAATGAGGCGAAAACTTTGTACCTTATTGTTTGTATCGTCAACTTAGTTCATCATTAGTTCGAGCTTTTTTTAGTACAACAAGTGGGGTACGATGATTTAAATTTCTAACCTTGAGTTTTGTCCTTGTTTTTCTCTGTAGCTCAAATGAATATTAATCGAAATAGTAATAGAAACACGTGCACAAACGATTGATAAGTATTGTTCGTATATGAAATTCAACTTTGAACCTCAATTATGTTTACTTTTTCCTTTAAAATCATAATGTTGAACGACTTATGGTTAATGTTGAATATTTGTTCTCTATTTACAAATAATAATAATAATAATAATTTTTTTTTTTGATACGACACCGTTTGGTTGCTAAAAACTTCTAAGCAGCCTAACAGGTTAATAAGGAGACTAGCTTCGACATAGACCGTCGACGCGTCATCAGAGAAGAAACGAAAGCCTTCGCAATAGAGCTGCTGCCCGAGGTATTTGCTTACCGCTCCTTCGATCTCTTTTGTAAGTGGGCAAATCCTGGGGAAAAAATTCAACTGGATCTAAAATTTTACCATTTTTCCGATTCGATTGAGTGGAATTTGTACTGAATTGCATCTTCCAATTGGATTGCCTCTGATATTTCGATTAGGTTATCCAAAACTAATCTATTGATTGTAGTGACGCTGAGATTTTTGTACCTTCTGTTGTTTCGGATCCGCATTTTTCTTTTCTTTTGCAATTGTTTTATTGCTGCTCATTTTGATCGCACATCTTGTTGTTTAGCTGGTTTCTGATTTCTGTTGCTGTCATTCCTCGTGGTTTGATGCTTGACTACTGGTTATGACGTTTTTGTGTTTGTGATTACTGAAGGTCATGGCGGGGTCTGGGAGTTCCATGCTTACCTCATTTCTTCTGTTCACTGTCATTCTTTCGCTTCAAGAGATGTATAGAGGAAAGTTAGCTTCATCGGAGTTATTTACCATACTTGGAGGATTCATCAGTTCTCTTCTATTTCTAGTGCTTCTAACTGTGAGTGCATACGCTTTTATCCTTTTACCAGCTAGACTAACGTGTGGATTTATTTCATCTTCATGTGTATTTCTGGATCCGGTGGCTTTTCCTGGAGAGGAGTTTACAGATATTTTATGGAATAGTTCGTGTTTTATCAGTATTTAATTCCGTCCTTTAGGCAGTTGAATCCACCTTCATAACATCTTTTGTCAATTACATGGACACTGAATAAGTAATATTGTTTAAATCAAAATGTGCAGTATTTCGTTGACTTCGATTTTGCATCGGTTACGAATTATAAGTTACAAAGATTTCTGCAATATTCTATTGTTTTCAATTCTGATCTCCTTGTTTTGTAAGAGATGATATTTCAAATTATAAACGATTATGACATTTTGGACCTGGCTTTGCTTGCTGTCAAACGTAATGGAATCAGTTGTATTTCATGGTTTTATGATAAGTTATGCATTGCATAACTCATGCATACAGAATTTTGTACTCATGACCGTGTTTTTTTGCTTCAATTACAGCGTGCAATTTATGAGCTTAATTTGTATTTAGTGCTTTTCAGCTTAAATTGCTGATTCAACATAATAATTTTCATTTTCATGATTTATTTATTGCAGTTTATAGGAAACTTCCAGGAATCATGTGGCATGCGAACTGGATGGGGAGCTGGTAAGTTTAGTTGCTTGTCCTTATCTGCACAATAATTTTTTTCTGCTTAATTAGTTTGTCAAAGACTAGCTTACAGTGTATGAGTAGCATCGACTTAGAGGTTGCGTATTTTGAATCATTGGGAGAGCTTAATGAGGAGCTCGAAATATGTCCCGTCAGTTGTGTAACAAGGTGTCCCATTGATGTCTCTGAGTATAGGTTTCATGGAAAGCACAGACTCTGTTGAAAATAGTCTTAATACTAATGCTGCAGATTGGAAACATTTGATGATTTATTTTATAGTTACCTGCAACAAGCGTATCTGTTCTTTATAAATGTTCATAATTGTTAGGATAAGCAAGCAATCATTAAAAAAAAAATTTGTATGGGTCTATATCTGTATTTTTGGCCTTTTCTTCTTCATATTATGCTGCATTGATTATGCTATTGAATGGATACTTGTCAATCATGTACTCCATTTGATTTGTGCATTATTAATGAAATGAAAATTTCATTGTTTAAAGTAGTACTTTCCTACTACTAGATACTCTTTTCCTTTATGTTCTTTCATAACAAATGAATTTTCATTGATGTTTGTTGAAAACCTTTAAGTGAGTTAATTCAGTAGATCATATATTATGATAAACAATAGCATAATAGTGTCCACATCTGCCAGTTTCCTTGAGATGAAGCAGAATCAACTAACCATTTACTTTTCTGTTGCAGTCATCGTAGCAGAAGCAGTTGCATTGATTGCTGCAAGCACTGTTCATAGAGTTTGCATCACAACATGGTATTCTGACTTAATCCATTTTCTTTACTGTGTTCATAGCTCTACTTCCCGTGGGAAGAAAGAAATGCAGAAGGAAACACTATAAAGAACAGAGAACTCATATCATAACGATTCAAAAGCGAAGATTATAAGATAGAAAACTGATCCTGTCATAATCTAATATCATATGTTCAAAATGGTAACTTCATTTCAAATATTTCAGAAGGGAAGGGAACAAATTCTAGACGTATGTTTATAGCCATTATATTAAATAGTAGAACAGCACGTTCCTTGTGATTGATTGCACCAAAACATTGAGTATCTTGAAACTCTAACTTCACATCTTTCTTGTTTTCTTCTGTTGCAGTTTCTTATTCTCCGCTGGACTGCTGTACGAGTTGAACAAGTTTTCGAGCGTGGCACTTTCTAAATCCGAATCTAGAGCGAAAAGGCACTGAGATGGAAACTAAGTTAGTTCTTCAGAGAGGAACAACGTTGTTTTTGAGATTTTCTTTTTACCCTTAGCTCCTGCAGGATCACTGCACCTTATGGTGCTGATTAGTTGTGTTTTTGTTTTCGTTTTAGGAGAGAGCCGGCTGTGGGAACAGTTACTACATTCATAACTATCATAATTTTAACAATTACTGCCTTCAAACATTTTCTTCTGTTGTTCAAGTAAAAAATGTATGGCATGTCTCCTGATTAGAGGTCCTATCGCCTGCTATTGAATCTAGAACACTTCATATTCATCTTGAAAACTTCACAGATTTGCAATAACAGTTCAAATTATAGGAGTGGCAGCATGTTATTTCATATCTCAAAATAACTCCACAATGTACCTATTAGAATTCTATTCCAAATCTAAATCAAAAAATAGATAGCATCGACATATTCCGAATTCAAGCCATCAAGAGTTCAACACACTTCTTAAATCCAGACTTATGTAAAACTTTTCGATAATTTTGTTTACCAAGCTATATCTCGATGTAAATTGTCTAATATTTTTACTTCCTAGAGCTATACCTCCTTCATCGAAAATTCGGAAGGTCTTTTGTAAACACCATGAATTATACATCTCTTTTGTAAATTTTAATCATCAATGAAATTGTCTCTAATAAAAAAAATCCAGACTAAGTAGAGCCCTGTTCGTTCCGCTCGCAACAATCCAATGAGTTCTCCAGGTGAAAAAAACATTAGACATTCCATCTTCTGAAACCAACACTTTTGATGTTATTTGACGTACAATAATTTCGATATGTCTATTATGGATCTCCACCTCTTGGGATCGATAAACCTTTTGAATCATATTAACCAAAGAGATACGACTTTGCACTATAGTTAGTTCAGCACCAATCAAAAATTCCCGAGGAGTTATAAATTATTTAACTCTTCGAACTAATTAGCTCCCTAAACTAAACAACCATAGACTCAATAACTCCACGTAGTGCTATCTGATGAAAAAAAAAATCTGAGCAAAGAGGTTGAGAAACATTTCCCTTGTTACTCCAATGGAAATGGTTGTACATAAAATTCAGCAGTAGCAAGTGGCAGCTCAAATCATTTTGACCATCTTTCTTTCTCTGCTTTTGCATTTCAGCTCTGCAACAGAAGAAAGGAAGAAACAGAAACTAGATGACATTTAGCCTGCAATAAGATGATGATATATGGGGAACTATGAATCCTTGCATTTTAAAGAAATAACAAATAGAACCTACAAAGGCAGAACGAAAGCAGACCTCTTTTAATAGTCCATCCAGCAAAGATGGGAATTTTGAACAGCAGCGCATCATTCAGCCAAGTTCCTCAATCACACATTGGCTCCTTGACAAGTAAATTCATTTTGTCCTGCAGAAATTTTAGAACATCTTCTCTGCCTTCCTTGATCAATAAGTGTCTCAACCTTCCAAATGTGACACCAGAAGGCCGTATTCCTTTCTCTATCATCTCTTCCAACAATACACAAGCTTTTGTAGCATTGCCTATTTGACACAGTCCATTAATAAGAACAGAAAACGTGTGCATGCTCGGAACAAACTGCTTCTTCTTCATATAATTCCAAACTTTAAGAGCCATATCAACCTCCTTCCTCCCGCAGAACATTTTTATGATCATGGTATACGAATCTACGTCTGGTTCGCACACTTTGACCATCCTTCGAAACATCCTAAACGCCTCATCTGTCTCACCACTGCCTATTAAGCTGTTTATAATGATGTTGCAAGTCCTTGAATTGGGGCTAACACCCTTTAATTCCATGTCCTTTAACACCCTATACACATTCTTAATCCTGTTTGCTTTACAGAAAGCAGAGATTAAAGCATTATATGCTGCTACATCAGCCCTTACTCCATTTCTTTCCATCTCCAAGAACGTAGAGACTGCCTCCTCGATCCGATTTTCTACACCATATGTATGTACCAAAACACTAAAGACAAATGATGTCGGTCCACAATTATTAGAATCCATTTCTTTTACAATGCCAACTGCTTCGTCGACTCGTCCTGCTTTGCAAAGAACATCAACCATAATGCTATATGTCACTACATCAGGAACGCACCCGCTATCAATCATTTCTCTAAAAATCTCCCTTGCCTTTGGAAGATTTGGAGCCCTACCCCATCCTTCAATGAGTATGCTGTAAGTTTTCGAGTCGGGAACAAATTGATCCTTCATACTGTCAAAAATTTCCTGAGCCTTCCTCACATTCTTGGACTTGCACAGAGCACTCAGCAATCCATTAAATGCAGCTACATTTGGTTTCATGTTGTATTTTTCCATGATATTAAATGTATAAACTGTTTCCTCTACTTTCTGAGCTCTAGCATACTTTCTCATGATAATACAGAACGTCTCAACATTTAGAATCTCCTTATTCCTCATAACATTCACCAAATCCCACACCATCTGGTACTGCCTTATCTTAGCTAAAGACTCGATCATAGAGTGGTAAGCCCTCACACTATGGACATAGCTTCGTTGTTTGGAAGCCCATTCAAAGAACCTATAAGCTAACATGCCAGCATTCTCAAATCTTTTTAGGACAGCCTCAACTATCTCAGGTGAAATCCTAATCCCACTTTGATCAAGGGCAGTTTCAAGCGCCAGTGTTTGGCATGTCATCATGATTTTACATATACTCTTGGTTGAATCCGAGACCGTATCAACTTGTTCACCAGAACTGTACAGCCTAGCCAACAATCTACATAGTGGAAGTTTGTTTCTCTCATAGCTGCAAATTCTCATCATGGTACACAGAATTGAACTTTGCCTCAAACAATGTCAATAACATGAAAACAAGTAACTACGCATGCTATTATGGAAAAAATCACCACTTAAGTTGCTGCAGAGCTTCTTAATTAAGCATATTCTCAAACCAAACTATAGCTAGCTTGAATTTTCGAAGGACGCTAAAGAGAAAATGGAACAGAACTTGAGAAACTTATAAATCTATAAACAATCCAACGAGCAAAGTAGAACTAAGTAACTAAAACACAAAACAGGCTAGCGTGTCGCACCGTTGTTATCTTCTTCCTCGCTTCAATGGAAGAATGAAACGACGGCGGCGCGATCGAACAAATTCCTATCGCCTAGTGGCCGGTGGTTCGAATTTGAGCATGCTGCGTTCCAATCCAATTTGGTGTAGAATCGGTGCCGGATTTCGCTCCTCCGACGACGCGGTTGCACGAGACCGACGAATTTTAGGGGTTGTAGGCTAAACTACAAAAGAATAAAAGTTAAAATAAAAAATAAAAAATAAAAATTTAATTTTTAATTTTTTTAAATTTTTTTAGACGTTTATGCTATTTTTAAAACTTCAAAATTATTTTTGAAATAAATAAATTACTAATAATTTAAAGGAACAATAATTTCGATATTTTTTTAAAAGTTTTAAAATTTTAGAAGTTTAAAGGTAATATTAATTTTTTTTTTGAAATAAAATAAAATGTTTAATAGTATTTTACTAATCTAGGAAAAAAAACAAAAAAAAAATGTATATATATAAATTTAAATTCTCTCTCACACCGACACGGACTCGGAAACGGGAAATAGAATAGAAACAAATCATAATTTGATGTTGCTGAATGCGTGGTGGCTTCCACTCATACATTCGTACGGAGGGAGAGGGAGAAGCGGAGGGGCCACGAAGTTGTGATATCTTTGATTAATTTGACCTTCTCCTTCCTCTGGACGATTTGTTTTTGAAGCTTGTTTGATGTTTATGCTTCAATTATCTGCGGCATTGATTCTGTGTTCTTTCTCACTTTAGAATTCGTATTTGAAGAACAGTTTAATTGCTCGCTTTTGCTTTGAAGATTATTGGGTTTACTTTTGATTCCATTGTTGAAAATTTGTGATTACGCCTGCAATGGACGAGTTTGGGGTATTGACAGAACGATTTGGATTGAAGCCGCAAGGAAAATCGGCTCCAATGGCCGCATCTAAGGCACCATCTCCTTCAAACACCTTCCAGTCCCGGAATTCCGGGTACAATTCGGGTTTGAACGGCAAATCCTCGTTCGACTCTGGTTTTGTTGACGTATCTTTTCAGAAAAATACTAAACCCGATACTTACGGAGGGCTTGATGATTACGATGGTCTTTTCGGGAGTCTCAACCAGTCAACGAAACATTCGGGGAATTCTGGGAGTTCTCCGTCTTCTTTTGACTACGATTCCATATTTTTTGGGTCGAAAAATTCAGATCCAACATATGATGATGTTTTTGGTGGGATTCCCGGATTCAAGAGCTTGGTTACAGCGAAGAAGGAGGATCCTGTCCGATCATTCCCTTCGTCTTTGAATCAGACCTCTCAAATTGGTGATTTGTTTGGTGATTTTGGCAGCAATGTGGGAAAAACTTCCCCGAAGCTGAACGGATTAAAAAATGCAGCAAATAACGCAGCTCCTTTTGATGAATTGATTTCTGGCTTTGGCAATAAAAACTCTCGAACTAACAGGTATAATCAATGTAGATGCTTGAAAAACTGGCCTACATTATGTCGTTGGTACGAGAAAATTATGGTTTAGGTTCTGCTTTTTGTTGGTGAATCTACTGTATCATCATGCCGGTGTGAATTGAACTTGGGAAAAGATTTGACATAGAATTTAGCTTCATTTTTTTGTGTGTATTTCTAGTTTCTTAGATGACAAGAAGCAATTTCAGCTTCACAGTTTCATTCCCTTTACTGTAAGATCAGTTTACTCCTGCAGCATGTCATTTCCTTATTTTGGTTGCCATATATGCAACCTTTCAAATGTAAAAGTTCATTTTTGACTTTCATTAGTTACCTTAAATGTCCTATAAGCCTGCATCTATTCGTTTCTGCTTCCGAGGCAAATTCATACGAGCAATCGCCAATCAACAGCATTGTATTGAATTGTTAATGAAGTACAAACATATAACTGGAATGAAACATATCTGCAATTGAATACCATGGTTGCCTTTCAATTTTTCTTTAATCATATTAGACCATTTACAATATCGTATGCCTAGAGAAACTCTCTTCAATGTGGGAATAAAGTCTTGATTATTGTAGAAATCTATTTTCTGTATACCCTATGTGCCTTCCCAAACTCATTCAATTTTGTTCCTGCATATTTCCGACTAGATGATTTCCGTGCTGGTTGTTTTTATTCATGCATCTCTATTTTTCTCGTAAGTGTGATTACTCGTACCATTGGTGCGTTCTAATTTTACTTGTTTTCACAGGGCAAGCATGCCAGACAATCTGACCCAGCAATCAACTGTCAATTCAGCCAAAGATCCTTTTATAGAACTAGAATCAACTTCAATACCGTCTTATAATTCATCTGAAGCTTCAAAATTTGACAGCCCCCCAAGTTCTTCCTCACCATTCAGGATTCCTCGGATACCAAAGCCAGGTCATAAGGAAGATAAAGGTGCTTCAGCTTCCCTAAATTCATAAGTATTGATATGCCCAATCTCATCAAAATTTGACAATATGAAGATGCTCTGTGCAGTTAAGAGCTCCTCTTCCTCTCCTATAGATGAATTGGATAACTTTGCTAGGGGGAAGACGCAGAATAACAGTGAAGGGAAAGTCAATGCCTCAACACACATGAGTAGAAATCGTCATGTTGCACATGCTGCAGGAGTAAATCATCAAAAGACTGTTGACGATCTGGACTCCTTTTTCAACGTGGGTCCTCAATCACGGAGTGTTCCAAGGTCACAAACGACGACTCCGGTAACCACTTAACACCACCAATGCTTGTTCAAAAGAAAAAAGAATATGAAAATTGGTTGCAGTTAAAACAATATATATTTGTTTATTTGTATCCTAAACCACCGGATGGACACGTCTGTTAATGTTGTGGTGTTATTTTTCAGGATCCTCTATTTGACGTTCCTAAATACAACAAACCATCCGAAATTCCCAAAACTGCTTCTTCTGCTGTTAATCTTGTGGATGATCTTTCGTCGGTTTTCGGAGGTGATATACATACCATGGAATGCAGCTTCAGCTATGACTATATGCAATTGACTACAATTTTCTCGATTGTTTTTTCCTTCAATCTTTAAAAATTTGTTTTTCCCCAATCCCTTTTTTCTCTTATGTTAGTTGCTCCTTCATTTGGACATTTTGAAGAAGTTGCTGGGGAGAGTGAAGAAAGAAGAAGAGCTAGAATGGGGCGTTTCCAGAGAACCCAAGAGCGTGCAGTTTGTGTTTCCCTTTCTCTCTTTTTAAATCTTTGTTACAATTTGTACCTATTAGAGTTTAGATCTCTCTTCTTAGATGGATGTTCTTATTCATTGAATTAAAAGCAGTTCAAATCGATTCCTAGTGGGATTTGAGGCATAGGCATAGACTTCCTAGTAATTTTGGCAAACTGATTATGGATTTTGCATTTCTTTTTTTGTTCATCTTTACCAGGAACATTTACACCGTCTTAATGTTTTATTTTCAGGCAAGAGCAGTGGCTGATTTGAATCAGCGTGATTTTCAAACACAGCATGAGCAAGAAGAGAAGCGTGTTAGTATTCAATTGCTCAATTGTATTTTGACTTACAGTTATAATTCTCATTTTAGTTAAATCCAAAGGCTTGGTTGGTTTATTTCCAGTTTTGTTTGATTTGACCAGAGGTTTGCTGAGTCTTTAGATGTTGATATCAAGCGCTGGGCTGCAGGGAAGGAAGGCAACATTCGTGCATTGTTATCGTCAATGCAATATGTGTGTTTCTTAGTTTTAGTTTTTCTCTCTCATTCTAATGTTCCTTACCTAGTGTCCGTTATTTTCTATTATTCTCCATGTGAGCATTTCGATTAGCTTTTCTCTCTCTATTTATTTATTATTTTTTGAGAAATGGAGTCACACCAAAAAATAAGCTCAACCTAAAAGCCTTAGGGATAGGATCCATAGGCATAGAAAGGGGAAATCGAAGAAAAGGGAAAGAGGGAATATTATGTAAGGATTTGTGTAAAGCACTCGGTTGGTGGTTGTTTACTGAATATCTTCACTAAATTTAACAAAAGTGGTGAACTTATATGAGAAACATCTAGAAATCCTTTCTTCTGAAGAAGCCAAAGAGACCTCTACAAGCCTTTGAGCAATGGATTATACTCTTTTCTTTTTAACCATCAGCCCGAAATAAACTAAAAAATCTCATCTTCAATCTTCTTGGAGGAACAGGACGGGCGCCAAGAAGATTCAAAATGATTGGTCATTCCTTTAATTTTCTTTCCATTAAACATCTTCTCAGCTGAAGATCCCAAGTATTATTGTAAACGACCAGCAAGTATTTATAGTGGCAAACTTGAAATTTGAGACCCTATTTATGTGGAAGGAAAGAAGCTGAATAGAGGAAGAGGAGAAGTCCTAGAAGAGTTAAAGATCTTCTTATTCTAAAAGAGTTGTTGACCTTAAACTGCTTCTGCATTTCCCCTTCATGGAGAGAGAAAAACTTCTCATCTTTGGAATTGTTTATGATGTATTTCCTGTAGGGATCTGTGATGGTAAAGACTCAGGATTTAGAAAAGCCTAGGCTGGTATTGAGGATAATGAAAAACCATAGTACCTTTGTAGGCTAGTATTGAGGATGATCGAAGATCAAAGTACCTAAAATGTATAAATTTTTCTTTTGACTTCGTAGGTAGATAAGTTAATATTGGCAACTTTATTCAATAAAGATACTTTGCAGTAGGCTGGTTTGAGGAGAGACAAAAAAGCTTAAAACCATTGATTCTCTTTTGGTAATATTGTAAATAGTAGCATTCGTAAAATGTGTTTACTTCCATGACCTTTTGCATGACATGTGGTAATGCTTATAGGATGTATACATAAACATACATAACTTCTTGTAGACGCTTGAATAGTTATATTCTTAGAGAAGCATGGGCTGGTGGCTGCACCCCATGATCATAACGAAGAATATTTTCATAAAAGCCATCAACTTTAAAATACGTTCACACGTTCAACCAGTCCAGATTCTCTAGCTGTAATTGGCAACAATATAGATTCGTTTACTAGCATGCTGATTAACCTCCACTCTACTGGTGATTAGGTTCTCTGGTCGGGATGCGGTTGGGAGCCAGTTTCATTGACGGATATGATTACTTCTACCTCAGTTAAAAAAGTATATAGGAAGGCAGTCTTGTGCATTCATCCGGATAAGGTACAACAGAAGGGTGCCAGTATTGAGCAGAAATATACAGCAGAGAAGGTTTTTGATATCCTTAAGGTGACTTGCCAAT